GGATCAGGTGGCAACCCAAGCGTCCACTGTACATATACATATACATATAAAGGTAAAAGTAAAGGGACCTCTGACCATTAGGTCCAGTCGTGGCCGACTCTGGGGTTGCGGTGCTCATCTTGCCATATTGGCCGAGGGAGCCGGCGTTCAGCTTCCGGGTCATGTGGCCAGCATGACTAAGCTGCTTCTGGCGAACCAGAGCAGCACACGCAAACGCCGTTTACCTTCCCGTCGGAGCGGTACCTATTTATCTACTTGCACTTTGATGTGCTTTCGAACTGCTAGGTTGGCAGGAGCAAGGACCGAGCAACAGGAGCTTACCCCGTCGCGGGGATTCAAACTGCTGACCTTATGATCAGCAAGTCCTAGGCTCTGTGGTTTAACCCACAGCGCCACCCGCGTCCCTTACATATACATATACATATGAGACTGTCACCCTTATTTGGATATGAAACCAATGTCCATATTCAAAAACTTTACTTGCACAAAATTACAGCTATAGATGAATTGCACCATGATATTTACAGTCACACGCTCATCCAAGCATGGGCAGACAGTGTCGTCTTCTAACTTCCAAACAACTATATTTGCCTGTCTTTCCAGGACTCAGCACTCAGCCTTCTGTATCTCAATCAGGCCATGCCTTGCAGCTCCTATGAGAGATTTCTACTTTTACCTTCTCCTGAAGCTTTGCTCTCCTCCTCTCAGGCAGAGAAGAAGCGCTCCAACACTCTGTTCAACTTAGCAGTGTTCACAGTGGATTCTAAAGCACAGTCCTCTCGCTTCACACAAAATGGAGTCTCTCCTTCACTGGATACCTCCCATGTGACCAACCTTAGCCAATCACATGAGAGCTGCCAGAGAACTCTCTAGAATTCAGTTACCAACCAATCAAATGTAAACACATAGTAATGCATACAAGCACTTGCAATTTTGGTGAATTAAATTATTACACTTAACAGATGGTTGTGGGAAACCCGCAAGCAAGACCCCAAGCACAGTGGCACTCTCCCATCATGTGGCTTCCAGCAAGAGGTATTCAGAAGCATAACTGTTCCAAACTATGGAAGCAGAACATAGGCATTATAGCCAGTAGCTATTGAAAACCTTGCCAACAAAGGTCTGTATAGTAAAAGCTATGGTTTTCCCAGTAGTGATGTATGGAAGTGAGAGCTGGACCATAAAGAAGGCTGATCGCCAAAGAATTGATGCTTTTGAAGTATGGTGCTGGAGGAGACTCTTGAGAGTCCCATGGACTGCCAGAAGATCAAACCTCTCCATTCTTAAGGAAATCAGCCCTGAGTGCTCACTGGAAGGACAGATCCTGAAGCTGAGGCTCCAATACTTTGGCCACCTCATGAGAAGAGAAGACTCCCTGGAAAAGAACCTGATGTTGGGAAACGTGGAGGGCACAAGGAGAAGGGGACGACAGAGGACGAGATGGTTGGGTAGTGTTCTCGAAGCTACCAGCATGAGTTTGACCAAACTGCGGGAGGCAGTGGAAGACAGGAGTGCCTGGCATGCTCTGGTCCATGGGGTCACGAAGAGTTGGACACGACTAAACAACAACTAATTGAAAGCCTTTCCCTCCATGAAGTTCTGTCGTCCTTCCCCAAGCATTTCCATCAATCCAGTTCTTTTGTTAGCGCATCCACAGCTCCCCAGTATTCCATGCCAGCTCCACTTGCCTCCGCAAGCAAGTTCAATGGCCACGTAGCCAAATTATGCAAATAAAAGGGAGAAGAATGCTAATAATAATAACCCACTTCTATATTTTTATCTCCAATTTTGGAAGCTGGTCAGTCATCCAAAACGATGTTTTTTTAGAACCATTAAATATGACGAACAGGAGCAGAGTGTTTCTGCATCCACACGCTATCTCTTTTTCTCCTCTCTTGCGCACAGCGTACCTGCCAGCAAGCATGACTGCTGGGGGGGGGGGAGGAAAGCTTTATTTTTAATTGCTATAATTTCATTTCAAGTGTGCCGAGTTCTAAGAATAGACAGCCTTGTCTTGTATTTATCATCTCGCCACAGCTTTCCTTACCCTCCTCCTGGCAGAGAGGCCCTCTTCCCCCCTCCCTTGTTTTTTTTTCCTCAGAGAGGGGGAAAAGTTAACCAAAGTTAATCGAGATCAGTAAGAATATGTGATATGTGTATGCGAGCACGCAGAGAGAGAGGGAGGGTGTGTGTCTTGCAGAGATTTTGAGAGCGCGTGAACTTTGTGTGTTGGTGACAGCGATAAAACTGCCACTGGTCCTGAATGGGGTAACTGTGCCCCTGAAGGACCAGGTGCGCAGCCTGGGAGTCATTTTGGACTCACAGTTGTCCATGGAGGTGCAGGTTAATTCTGTGTCCAGGACAGCTGTCTACCAGCTCCACCTGGTACGCAGGCTAAGACCCTACCTGCCCGTGGACTGTCTCGCCAGAGTGGTGCATGCTCTAGTTATCTCCCGCTTGGACTACTGCAATGTGCTCTACGTGGGGCTACCTTTGAAGGTGACCCGGAAACTGCAATTAATCCAGAATGCGGCAGCTAGACTGGTGACTGGGAGTGGCCTCTGGGACCACATAACACCGGTTCTGAGATATCTGCATTGGCTTCCAGTACGTTTCCGAGCACAATTCAAATTGTTGGTGCTGACCTTTAAAGCCCTAAACGGCCTTGGTCCTGTATACCTGAAGGAGCGTCTCCACCCCCATCGTTCAGCCCGGACACTGAGATCCAGCGCTGAGGGCCTTCTGGTGGTTCCCTCATTGCGAGAAGTGAGGTTACAGGGAACCAGACAGAGGGCCTTCTCGGTAGTGGCGCCCACCCTGTGGAACACCCTCCCTTCAGATGTGAAGGAAATAAGTAGCTATCCTATCTTTAAAAGACATCTGAAGGCAGCCCTGTTCAGGGAAGTTTTTAATATTTAACGCTGTACTGTTTTTAACACTTGATTGGGAGCAGCCCAGAGTTGCTGGGGAAACCCAGCCAGATGGGTGGGGTATAAATAATAAATTATTATTTATTATTATTATTATTATTATTATTATTATTATTATTATTATTACAGTTCCTGCTTCAGCCCCCAACCCCAGAAGTTAGATCTTCAATTGGGGTTGTGCTGGAGATGAACGCCTCTTGCCTCTAAATGCAAGCGTAGGGACAAAAAAAATATGCCAGAGAATATATGCCTCCAACTTCCAGAGCTAATCAACAGCGGGCAGAGAAAAGCCTCAGCAATATGTAATATAGTGGGAGGGCAGCAGTTCAAGCGTGAAAATCGGGGTGTGTTCCAAGAATATCAAAGCGTCCTTAATTTTCATCTGCAAAACGTTCGGTAACCATACGCTTGGCTGAATTAAAGAGATGGCAATGGCCTAGAGCCGTGGTTCCTAACCACACGCCCCACAGGGGGTGCAATTTGATTTGGGGGGGCAATTTGAGAATGAGTTATTATTAACAGTGGTTTGTTTGTTTTTTGCATTTCTTATGGTTCTAGGGGCCTCATATACAGCATAGAAATACCGTATTTTTTGCTGTATAAGATGCACCAGACCACAAGACGCACCTAGTTTTTGGAGGAGGAAACAAGAAAAAAAAAAATCTGAATCTCAGAAGCCAGAACAGCAAGAGGGATTGCTGCGCAGCGAAAGCAGCAATCCCTCTTGCTGTTCTGGCTTCTGGGATAGCTGCACAGCCTGCATTCGCTCCATAAGATGCACACACATTTCCCCTTACTTTTTAGGAGGGAAAAAGTAGTCTTATAGTGCCAAAAATACGGTACAGTGGTACCTCGCAAGACGAATGCCTCACAAGACGAAAAACTTGCAAGACGAAAGGGTTTTCGGTTTTTTGAGTTGCTTCGCAAGACGATTTTCCCTATGGGCTTGCTTTGCAAGACGAAAACGTCTTGCAAGTTTGTTTCCTTTTTCTTAAAACCGTTAATACAGTTGCGACTTGACTTTGAGGAGCAACTCATAGCACGCAGTGTGGTAGCCTTTTTTGAGGTTTTTGAAGACTTTGGTGATTTTTGAAGCTTTTCCAAAACTATTCCGAAAAATGTGCTTCGTAAGATGAAAAATTCGCAAGACGAAAAAACTCGCAGAATGAATTAATTTCGTCTTGCGAGGCACCACTGTATATATTGCGATACGCACATTTAAAAAGTTAAAATCAGAATGTACACGGTGGTCTATTCGGTGCCTGCTAAAAACATTCTTATTTAGACAAGCCCACCAAGAGGCATCAGAAAGTTGGAGGCAATTTTATTACTTTAACTTTTGTATGTTTCAAAGGACGGGAGTGAGTTCCCCCTCCATTTTCTTGCTGTCGTTTTGTAAACCGCTTTTGAGTTTTCTTGTGCTCAAGAGCCGTGCATAAATCTCACGATTTCCATAGACCAAAAAAGAGAGAGAGAGAAACGAAGCGATCATGTCCACACCCTTTTTTTTAATGACTGTTGTTTTTTTAAAAAAACAGCAGATCCATCACCAATTTCTCACAGCAACACAAGGCAAGCATTCAAAATCTCATCTTATCCACAAACCTGCCGGCATCCATCAAATCTTAAGCCATTCACACTCCATATTCATCGTACCATGCAACCAATCCAGAAGGTCAAGTTCCAAAAGCACACACAGAAACGAAGGCGTTGAGGGGAAGGGGAAGGTTGGATGGAGACCAACGGCACCTGAGTCAGAGAGATAGTCTTGAAAGCAGAGGTGCAAGTTGAGAGCCCCACAAAGCGCCAAAACCACACGAGGCATCAGGGGACGGGGGGGGGGGGTTTAAAGAGAGAAAGAGAGAGAGTCCAAAATGGCCAAAAAAGGAGGAGCAAAACCAAGCTGGGGGAGATTCAGAAGAAGTCTACATGGTGTCTGTACAAGGCAGTTCTCCACAGCGCAGACAGACTCTCGGGTCCCTCTCCTTTGACCCCCCAGCCCAGAAATGCTACCTGCTCCCCCCCTGTAAGCCTATATTAAGTTGACCCCCCCCCCAAGGCTCGCAAAGCTTAGTGCCGCAAAACAGATTTCCCTCGCCCAATCGTGTTGTAGAAGCCCCTGGTGCCATCCGGGCCTTGAGGACGCCGAATCACTTTTAGCCGGGCATGGAGCGATTCAGACACCCTTTTGGAAGCGGGTGCTGAGCTCAGGGGCTCCGGTTTCAGAGAGGGGAGCAGCTGTTGTTGCTGCTGCTGTTGCTGCCTGCAGGCTGGTCCTTGCTGCCTTGGCGGCCACAGAACCCCCACGCCGAGCCCGTTCGTCTCCCAGCAGGAGTTGGGCGGCTTCTGCAACCCGCAAGGGCCGTTGCTGGGCTTGGGCGCGGAGAGAGGAGGGAAGCAGAGCGGCCACGACAGCGGCTTGTGCAGGAGCGGGCGAGGGCCGGTGCAGGGCATGCTGAAGAAATTGGGCTTGAAGGCCTGGCCAGCAGAGGCGCAGAAGCCAGCAGTGGGCCAGACCGGAGCAGAGAGGAAGTTCGGAGGCAGGATGGGAGTGGATACCGGCGTGCCGTCGGACTCGGTCGATGAGCTGTAGAAGGAGTCTTCAAAGGCAAGCGGAGGGCCTTCAGGCAATGCGCCGGTCCACATCCTTGGTTTCTCGGCCTCCTCAGCCTCCTCACCGTCTTCCTGACTGGTCACGCTCTTCTTCTTGGAGCCCCTTCCAGAGAGGCTAACCACCTTGATGGCGTCCCCATTCAGGGAGGAGACAGCGGCTTGGCTGCGGACCAGCTCCTCAAAAGCCTTCCGGGTGCTTTCCAAGCTGTCGTACTCCACCACTGCGCAACACTTGGTCAAGAGCTCAGGGTACCGTGATGAGCACTTGCTGACATCTGAAGGGAGCTTCCTGCCGGGCCGGAGGATGCGGATGGAGGCGATGTCGCCGAAGGGGCTGAACAGCTTGGTGATGTTGTTGAGGAAGGTCATCTGGAACTGGAGAGAGCTGTGGGCGGCCGGCTCGTACGGAAGGATGTTCCAGGCCAGCAGCATCTTGCTCGAAGGGATGTTCACCAGATGTTCGGGGACGGGGGTCTTCCTGCGCACCTTCGTCCCTTCCTCGTTGACCTCCAGCAGCTCCGAAAACTGCAGGGCGTAAAGGGTCACCCGCCAATCTCTGGTTAAATATTTCACCTGGTTAAAAAAGAGAGGGGGAAGTAGAAGAGAAAGAGAGAGGCAGTTTTGCATGCTTTAAAGTAATAACTTTATTATTAATTATTATTATTTATTTGATTAGATTGATTGAATTTATATACCGCTCTATACCCGGAGGTCTCAGGTCGGTTCGCAGAATGAAATCAAAATATAAAACCACAAAATGCATAATCAAAATAAGAACAACTGCCCAATAACGCCCCCACCCGAAATAGCAAAGTTTTTAATGTTTGATGTCTTACTGTGTTTATTTGCGCGGACAGGCGGAGACCCCCACAAACCCCAGGCAACCCCCAAGTGGAATAATGACACCTGACAACGTGTTATGGGATTAAAATTGGCCACAACTTTATTAAACTTTCAGATGTAGGAAGACCTTGGCTTAGGCATTGGGCGAAGATCTGGAGCCGACTGAGGACTAACAGGTAAGCTACACCCTCTATTGTGAGTGTGGGGCGGTCCTAACTCTACCTGACCAACAACTCCCCTGGCAACGCCCCGCCCCCAGCTGGGATTGGTTAATTGTCGAAGCTAGGCGGAAACCACCAGGTACCCAGCGGGGGGGGGGGGGTGAAGCCAGGCTACCTTGCCAGGAGTCTCATAGTCAGGGGGGGCTGTGCATGACCACGCAAAAGCCACCCCCCAGTTAATGTGGGGAGCGGCCATTGCTGGGGCAACCCAGTCAGATGGGTGGCATATAAATAATGAATTGCTATTATTGTTGTTGTTTGTTGTTATTGTTGTTACCCGCTCATCTGACTGGGTTGCCCCAGCCACTCTGGGCAGCTTCCAACACACACAGTATAAAAACAGAATAAAACGTCAAACATTAAAAACTCCCTGATACAGGGCTGCCTTCAGATGTCTTCTAAAAGTTGGATAGTTCTTTATCTCCTTGACATCTGATGGGAGGGCATTCCACAGGGCAGGTGCCACTACCAAGAAGGCCCTCTGCCTGGTTTCCTGTAGCTTCACTTCTCAGAGTGAGGGATGGAGCTGTGCAAATATTATTATTATTTGCACAGCTCCATCTTCCTCAGGCACAGCTAGCTAAACATGTGATCACTGCCACAGAGCTATGTGGCTTGGAACAGAGCATACATTGGACACAGAGTCAGACCTTCCAGCTTAGCATAGTCTGTACTGAGCTGCAGTGGCTCTCCAGAGATTTGGAACAAGAGTCTTTCCTCTTGGAAATTGCAAGGGATTGAAGCTGGGATCATTGCCATGCAAAGCGGTCGCTTGGCCACTAAGCTACAGCCCCCTTCCCCCATATTGCCCGAAGACAGAGGTCCATAGCTGTCAACGTTTCCCTTTTTTAAGGGAAATTCCCTTATTCCGAATAGGATTCCTCGCAAGAAAAGGGAAAAGTTGACAGCTATGCAGAGGTCGCAGCTTTGACCTTGGGATCCAAACGCATGCAAAAAATGGAAACAACAAGAAATAGCAACGAAAGAGGAGTGGCAGGTGAAGATGATGGACTCTGCGCAACGGGCGAAGCTGACCGGAAAAATCTGAAACCAAGGTGATCAAACTTTCCAAAAAGACTGGAGTAAATTGATACAATACTTGAAGGACCATTGTAAGCAATTAACAACACTAGCATGGTCGTAAGAAGACTTGTAATGATAATTGTCACTGGCCTTTATTAATTTAAAAATTGTGATACAGTGGTACCTCAGGTTACATACACTTCAGATTACATATGCTTCAGGTTACAGACTCCACTAACCCAGAAATAGTGCTTCAGGTTAAGAACTTTGCTTCAGGGTGAGAACAGAAATCGTGCTCCAGTGGCACGGCGGCAGCAGGAGGCCCCATTAGGTAAAGTGGTGCTTCAAGTTAAGAACAGTTTCAGGTTAAGAACGGACCTCCGGAACGAATTAAGTACTTAACCCGAGGTACCACTGTATTCTGAATGAGTGAAATGTAAAATAGAAAATGTATAAATGCTATGAAATACAAATGAATTTTTAGAACTGTGAGGCGGGAGGGAGGGAAGTTGAGAGGCTCATATGAGCAAAAGAAGTGGATAATGAAGATGTGTTTAAATTTTGTAAAATGGAAAATTAATCAAAATATTATATATAAATATATATATAATATATATAGAAAATCTCGTAGAAAATCTACGAAAGCAAATATATATATATATATATATATATATATATATATATATATATATATAATATTATATATAATATATATATAATATATATAATATAAAATATTATATATATAAATATTAGGTAAAGGTAAAGGTACCCTTGCCCGTACTGACATTGCCCGTACTTGACAGACTCTAGGGTTGTGCGCCCATCTCACTCAAGAGGCCGGGGGCCAGCGCTGTCCGCAGACACTTCCGGGTCACGTGGCCAGCGTGACATTGCTGCATCTGGTGAGCCAGCGCAGCACACGGAAACGCCGTTTACCTTCCCGCCGGTAAGCGGTCCCTATTTATCTACTTGCACCCGGGGGTGCTTTCAAACTGCTAGGTTGGCAGGCGCTGGGACCGAACGACGGGAGCGCACCCCGCCGCGGGGATTCGAACCGCCGACCATGCGATCAGCAAGTCCTAGGCACTGAGGTTTTACCCACAGCGCCACCCGCGTCCCCTTCATATATAAATACTATTCCTGTACCCGTGAAAATCTACGAAAGCATATATATATATATATATATATATATATATAAAGTATTCGTGGCCCTCCCACCACGAATGCTTTCCAAGTGCCTTACCTTTTTGAAAGATGTCAGGAGCTTAATGCTGACAAAGCCCAACCTGTTCTTCTGCACGTGCTTCAGGAGGAAGGCATCCTTCGACAGGTTCTCATCAGAGAGGTAGAACTCCACCTGCGAGACGATCCTCCTGATCAGCTGCAAGTCGGGCGTGGGGCAGTGGCTGCTCTCAAAGAGGTCGAGGCTGAGGAGGTCGCTCAGGTCGTAGGGGCTGCTAGCAGGAGGAGAGTGAGGGGGGGGGGAACCACACACAGAATTACTGCCAGCAGGTCAAAAGCGTGAGCAGATTCACATTGCTTCAGTCGTAAGAGCAGAAGATACAGTGCTACCTCGGGTTACAGACGCTTCAGGTTACAGACTCCGCTAACCCAGAAATAGTACCTCGGGTTAAGAACTTTGCTTCAGGATGAGAACAGAAATTGTGCGGCGGTGGCAGGAGGCCCCATTAGCTAAAGTGGTACCTCAGGTTAAGAACAGACCTCTGGAACGAATTAAGTTCTTAACACGAGGTACCACTGTACCTGGCAGATCAGACCAAAGGCCTATGTCCAGCATTTTTTGGTTGGGGGTGTTTTTGGGTTATTATTATTATTTTACTTTGACAAAGTAATAATAATAAATAAACAAGAATAAAATGTGCACGCCACCCCTGAGACCATTCCATTGTAACTATCCAACCTCCCAAAATTTCAGCGCCTCTTGCGATGGTTTGACCCCTTTCTGTTTTAACAAATTCTACAGACACCTTCCATATCTTCTCAAAATTGTTTCTCCTGCGTATTCCCTGTCTTATCTTAATGGCACACCCCACATAATCACAAGAAGCAGCACACGCACACCATTTGAACGGCAATGACCACCAACTTGGGGGAGGGGGCCGGCTCCCTCAAATATGTTATCGGGGGGCCCAAAGGGACCTTGGCTCCAAGGAGATGGCTCCTATGCTCCTCAGGTTTGGTTCCCCTCAGACTCAGAGGCAGTTTAGGGGAGGGCAACCGGTTCACCTTTACTGGGCACCAGGCCAAGAGGGAGCTGCAACAACGAGGAACAACAGAAGGGGAGAGTCCGGCGGACGGCGGGATTTTGGCATTTCACACTGCACCGCTGAAATTTTAAAGCCTGAAGTCCGCCACTGTTCCCCCCCCCCACATTGCACATTACATTTTTGAGATGCAGCGACTGGCACTGTACACAATATTCCAAATATTGGTTGCCCTGCAAATTCTAGATGAAAAGCAACAACTCCAACTGTTGTAAGCTTTCTTGACAGTTTCATGATCGTTCTAGAGCCACCAGACCCTCTGAGCTCTTGTTTAAGAGATTTTTCTGCTTTGAGCAGGGCTTATTCCCTAGACCAGAGTTTCCCAAACTTGGGTCTCCAACTGTTTTTTTCAGACTACAGCTCCCATCATGCCTAGCTTGCAAGATCAATGGTCAGGGATGATGGGAATTGTAGTCCAAAACCAGCTGGAGACCTAAGTTTGGGAAACACTGGTCTACTTTGAAAGAAGGCCATCGATTCCCCCCTCAGCCTAGAGCAGGCTTTCTCAACCTTGGGTCCCCAAAGTTGGCTGTACTACAACTCTCATCATCCCTAGGTAGCAGGACCAGTGGTCAGGGATGATGGGAGATGTAGTCTAACAAGCTCTGGGGCCCCAGGTTGAGAGGGCACTTCTTCTGCGCACCACTGGGATCGCGACAGCTAGAGCAACAGCCCGTCCACTCACTCGCAACAGGGATAAGAGAGGGAGAAGGTTTCAAGGCAGCCTCAAGAAGCAGTATCTCCAGAGGAGGACCATTGAGGAACTTGACTTGGGATGGACGCAGGTGGTGCTGTGGTCTAAACCACTGAGCCTCTTGGGCTTGCAGATCAGAAGGTCAGCGGTTTGAATCCCCGTGACGGAATTAGCTCCCGTTGCGGTGGAAGAAGATTGGAAGAAATTTAAAGACTATTTACAGAAATACTGCAAAATTAATGAATGTTAGAATGATGTTGGATTGAAGTTAAGTGGTTTTCAGCAGTAATGTTATAAAGATGTGCAAAAATGGATTGTTAACAGGTGATAATCTAAAGTTTTAATATATTAAGATTAAAGATTAGGATAAAAACAAAGAGGGAAAGGATTTGCTGAACCAACTAATTGAACTGGATACAAAAAAGGGAGGTGTGAGGAGGTCTGGGGAACAAGCAAATGAAAGATAAGATACGGAAAGATTGAATTGTTTTTAACTGTTTTTACTTTGTATTTTTTCTTTTTCTTTTTCTTTTTGTAATTTTTTGAAAACTTTAATAAAAATCTTTTTAAAAAAAAAAAGGAATGAGCTCCCGTTGCTCTGTCTCGGCTCCTGCCAACCTAGCAGTTCAAAAGCACGCCAGCGCAAGTAGATAAATAGGTACCGCTGTGGCAGGAAGGTAAACAGGGTTTCTGTGCACTCTGGTTTCCTTCCAATTGCGCCAGAAGTGGTTTAGTCCTGCTGGCCACATGACCCGGAAAGCTGTCTGTGGGCAAATGCCGGCTCCCTTGGCCTGAAAGCGAGATGAGCGCCACAACCCCATAGTCGCCTTTGACTGGACTTTACCGTCCAGGGGTCCTTTACCTTTACCTTTCTACCTACCCATCCAGAGTCTCTGCCAGCTCCTCTTGGGTCAGCAGAGGGAAAGACCTGTTGGTGCGAGGGAAGAAGTGGAGAGTGGAGTACGGGCCGCCCTGGACTGGAACCGGACTGCTGCGCTTCAGGTGGGAGGCCAAGGCCATCTCAGGATTGCACAGGGCCATCGCCCTTCATCTGTTGAGATGGAGAAGAGGGTGGTTGGGGTGGGGAGTCACACAATAGCACAGCCCTCCAACAAGACTTCCCATGCCCAGAAGATCATGGGGAGCACCTGGAAAAACAACCAAACAGGTAGAGCGTGAGACTCAATCTTGGGGTCATGGGTTCAAGTCTCACATTGGCCAAAACATTCCTGCTTCATGACTCTCATGGTCCCTTCCAGTTCTGCAGTTCTATGATCAAACGCTTCCTGCAAGGCTCTCAGCTATAGGCCAGGCATCCCCAAACTCAGCCCTCCAGCTGTTTTGGGACTACAATTCCCATCATCCCTGACCTCTGGTCCTGTTAGCTAGGGATCATGGGAGTTGTAGTCCCAAAACAGCTGGAGGGCCAAGTTTGGGGATGCCTGCTATAGGCGATATCAGTTTCAAGCCAGTTCAACTGCTCAGCTTTAAGAAAGAGCAACACCATCGAAAAGTTACTTTCAGCTCTGGATTGGGACGCGAATTAAGGTTTTAAAGCAACCGAACTGCTATGCATTAATATACAAATACAGACATTTTTTTTAAACAACCTCTTTTTTTTTTGGAGAAGGAGATAAAGAATAAAGGGGAGTTGTTTTACAATCGTGAAGGCAGTAACTGGAAAATCTTCAGACTTTCCTCATTGAGAAACGAAAACAAACTGAGAGCACCGGCTGGAAGGCTGGGAAAATAACGTCCAGCAAAGGGAGGAATAATTGAATAATGTAGATTGAGCATTTGACTATTTTGAAGAAATAATTGTATACACAACTGACAGGCGGATAGCTGGAGGTCTTTATTTCTCTCTTTACTTTTATCTCCCTTGGGTGTTTATCATTATTCTTATATTATTGCTCTCTCTCACACACACGCCCTCTCTCTCTCTCTCTCATTGTACTTTGGTAAGAACTGCACACAGAGGAAGGGAAAGGACAATTTGGACCCCTTTTGGGAGCCTGTAAGACGAGGGGGATGAGCCCAGGTGAGAGCTGGGAGGGCACACCTTCCTCTGTAGGGGATGAAAGTTAAGTTGAGGAAGGATCTTGTAGTTTCTTTTTCTGTTCCTTCTTCCTTTATCTCGTTTCTTCCCATAGATTGGTTTGTTTCTTTTATTGTATTGTAAAAACTTTTTTTTTTAATTGCAAAAAGAAGCAGCAGCTACTTTCAGCACCTGTGCAAAGCTACAATTGTGAGGGAAGGATCTTATAGTTTCTTTTTCTGTTCCTTCTTCCTTTATCTCGTTTCTTTACTTCCTGTAGATTGGTTTGTTTCTTTTATTGTATTGTGAAAACTTGCCAAAAAAGAAGCAGCAGCTACTTTCAGCACCTGTACAAAGCTACAATTGTGAGGGGACTTGGAGGCAGAGGTGATAAAGCAGTGACAGTTACCCCATTTCATTTCTCTATCTAAAGTCACCCCTAAATTACTGTTCTGCCACTCTTTGCAACAATTTCAAGTTCCTAGTCCTTAAGAGTCAAGGCCACTCTGTGCCTCTTCTTTTGACCCCATTCATTTCCCACAGGCCCCTCAACTTGTACACCAAGCCTCCCATCCCTCCCTTCCTTTTTTCATGTATAATTTTTATTAAATTTTCTGTTTTACAATTTAGAATGTTCATTTAAACAACCTTAAAATGCCAATGACCTCCCTTCTTCTCTTTCCATGGTTCATTTTGCATATAAATCCCTGCAAATTTTACATAAACTAAACCATTAAGTCATCCATTATTACATCCATCAAAACTTGAATTTATCGTAATACTACCAAGGTTTTCAAGTGTACACAATTTCCCCCCCCCCATATATTCAATAAACATTTTTCTATCTTCTTTAAAAGTATGTTCCTCTTGTTCTCCTATTCTATATGACATCCCTCACTTCCCAATACTCAAGTACTGGTTGCTAGTTCCAGAAAAGGCACTCTGCATATGCCTAAAGACACATGTTTCCATTTTGCCCTTCTGCTTGTCTCCCTATCCTAACTGAATCAATCCAGGTCAAGAATGAGTGTTGTCCTTAAGTTTGAAATCAAAACCTTTTATTAGGCATTATGCAAATAAAACCATAAAAGGGAAAATAACATATAAAAGCCTTGAAATATATATAAAAAGGCAGCAGTTAGCTACATACATATATATATATATACATATAGAATCAGTGGTTTTCCTTGTTAACCTGCTCCTTGGAGGACTGCTACCAAAAACTCGGCTACCCCCGCCGTTACCCTTTGGTCAACGTCGGATAGGCAGAATCCCACACATTCACCTTGCTGGGGTTCCAGACCACCCAAAAGAGGGGACAGCACGCGTTGACGGAGCGTACTGTACAATGGGCAATGAAAGAGAATATGCTCTACAGTGTCCGGGGTTGTCCTTAAGTCTCTTTTCAGGGTACCCTCCTGCTGCCAACTGAGAGACCATTTTAAAAGTGAAATAATAAAAAGAAACACAAACATCCCAGAGCCAATATGGTGTGTGGCAGGCGCTCTGGAATATACATTTGAACCCTAACCCACCCTTGGAGCTATAACGGTTCAAAAGAAGCTTTACCTAGATTCAAAGAACTCCTGCCAACGAGAGTCGCTCCAGGAGACTTTTGACTTCTTCGACTTTCCAAAATGGAGGTTCAGGGAAAAGGAAGGAAGGGGGAAAACAGAGACAAGGGCTACAGAGTGATGGGTGGAGAGCAAAGCCTCTGTACTGCCAGGAAGCAGGTTCTTAAGAGAGAAAGGAGCTCCATGAGGGGCAGAGGGGAAAATCAGGTGGTGGACCTTGAAAATTAAGGCAGTAAGAGGAGGAGGAGGAATGGCCTAAACAGAGATCTGCAGGTGAAGTCAATCTCCATCATTAGGTTCAACAGTTAACAGCTGAAACAAGGGAGCTTTGTGTGAGGAGACACATCAGTTTTCTCCTGTGCATGTTTACTCAGGGTCTCTCCAGACCGATGTGGGGGTTTTGTGGCCAGTATTTCCTGCAGCATAGCACTGATGCACTCAATAATAGTGCACAAGTCATGAATTTATTCTGCAGCGCTTCCCTAACGCTTTCACGCTGTGGCCATGTTCACACTCTGATACCACCATTAAACAGTCGTGGCTCCCCACACCCCAACCCAAATTTCTGAGAGAATAGGGTGCTGAACATTGTTTAGCGGCCTCTTTTCCCCTCACAGAGCTACCGCTCTCTGAGTGGTTTCACAATCTGTCCATCTTCACAGGGAACTCTGGGAATTGTGGCTCTGTGAAGGGAAAAGGAATCTCCTAACAATGCTCAGCACCCTTAACAAACTACTGCTCCCAGAATTCTTTGGGGGAACCCATGGCTGTTTAAAGCAGTATTTTTGTTGGCATCCATCTGTCTCTAGAGTAGGCATGGCCAAACTAGGCCCTCCAGCTGTTTTGGGACTACAACTCCCATCATCCCTAGCTAACAGGACCAGTGGTCAGGGATAATGGGAATTGTAGTCCCAAATCAGCTGGAGGGCCAAGTTTGGCCGTGCCTGCTCTAGTGGCAATGGAGTGCGCCTCTGCGGGTGAAGACAAACTATTGGAGAATCACAGCACCTGCTGTGGCTGCAGAGACCAGTAATTTGTAACTGCTGCCTCCTGTGTTGGAATTGGTTCTGCCTTCCCCAAATGCAAAGCTTGCTTTAAAGGTAAAGGTAAAGGGACCCCTGACCATTAGGTCCAGTCGTGGCTGACTCTGGGGTTGCGGCGCTCATCTCACTTTATTGGCCGAGGGAGCCGGTGTACAGCTTCTGGGTCATGTGGCCAGCATGACTAAGCCGCTTCTGGAGAACCAGAGCAGCGCATGGAAACGCCGTTTACCTTCCCGCCAGAGTGGTACCTATTTATCTACTTGCACTTTGACGTGCTTTCGAACTGCTAGGTTGGCAGGAGCAGGGACCGAGCAACGGGAGCTCACCCCGTCGCGGGGATTCGAATCGCCGACTTTCTGATCAGCATGTCCTAGGCTCTGTGGTTTAACCCACAGCACCACCCACGTCCCCTAAGCTTGCTTTACGGTGGTGCAAAATGTGTTTAATTGGGTTGTTTCTATCCTTAGATGTGTATCACTTGCTGAAATCCGTCTGTCTCAAGAGACAATGGAGTGCGCCTCTGGGGGTGAAGTCAAACCACTGCATGAGCAGCACTAAAGTGACCTACCTGGGGCGCAAGCCTGCGCAGTGTGTCTGGAGATCCTAGGCTGCCCAAACGACAAGATTCCCTTGCTGGTGTGGTCCAAAGGAAAACAGAGCAATGCGTTTGGCATCAGGTTGGCTGCAGGAGTTGCTGGAAGGAGGCACCATCCAACTTTCTTAGGGAGTCGACTCTGGATTTGTATAGGGTTTTCTTCAGGCTTCCTCAACCTTAGCCCTCCAGATGTTTTTGGCCTACAACTCCCATGATCCCTAGCTAGCAGGACCAGTGGTCAGGGATTCTGGGAATTGTAGTCTCAAAACATCTAGAGGTTGAGGAAGCCTGGTTTACTTCTTAGTTTTCCCGCCCCGGAAAGATGTCCCGCAAGGCAGCAGATATGGATTCATCCCTGGGGTTCTCTCCTGAAGCCTTTTCCATGAATGGGTACCCCTGGACCCCTGGACGGTTCAGTCCAGTCAAAGCTGACTATGGGGTTGTGGTGCTCATCTCGCTTTCAGGCTGAGGGAGCCTGGGGGGGGATAAGGATGATATGTTTCTGGATGATATGTTTTGTTTTAATTTTGAATAAAAAGGTTATTTTTAAAAAAAGAAAGAAAAATACGGTAAGTTGGTCAGTTAAGCCAGATTGCTTCGTATGCTGTCGGCGGATTTTTATTGTTGTCTTGTTGGGCTGTGTAGGTGATAAAGGGGAACCATATCAGGGTGAATACGTCTTCATCTATTTGGCCCCGTGTCAGTTTCAGTTTATTGGTTAGTTTTTCTAGTGCTGTTTTTCATACTATTTGATACCATTGGTCTATGCTTACTCCTGACAGGTCTCTCCAGTG